TGTTATTATGCTCTGTGTGTGTGTGTGTGTGTGTGTGTGTGTGTGTCTGTGTGTCTGTGTGTGTGTGTGCATACCTGGCTCTGGATGGGCTGACGAGGTCTTGTCTGTGGGGTTCAAACCTAGAGATGTAGCTACACTTGGACCACTACAGAGGCACACGCACAGAGAGAAAAAAAAAAAAGTATGGTTCAACATTTCAAATCACTGATTATAAATTAATTATAAATTATAAAAGCAATCACAGTCATTTATTATTCAGACAAATTCATGTAGTCTTTCCTCACCATGTGAGCGGGGTCGCTGGTTCCCAAATGGACTCCTTTCTGACACAGAGTCGTCAGCTGACTGATACCTGCACGCAAAGCAGAAATTTCACACACAGAACCCATAAAGTCTGGATCAACTCCCCCAGCAGTCCCAGAGTGGGTCATATTCCTTCCTTAAATAAATAAAGTAAAATGAGAGGCTCCTGTGCTTCTCCTTCAGTTGGGACATGTGTGTCAAGATGCAAGTTTTTAAGGGTCGTAATAATATACTGTAATAACATTTGTAGTATTGACCTGAGGGTTCCTGTGAAAAAAGTCTAACATTAAATACAGACAAACTATCTCTCTGTCTCATTAGGGTATAACAATGATTGGATGGAACACATACCTTTTGTCCTGTTGTTCCAGTGCTTCTGCTCCCACTGGTCCAGCAGGATGTTCAGGTACCTCGGACACTCGAAGAAGCGGAGGTAGCGAGACGACGACGGCGATGGGAAGACTCGCTCGAAATTTCCGCAGCGGTTCTGCTCATCTTCACTCTCTGCCAGCACACGGACGTCCTCTGGAGTCAACACGTCCAGCACGGTGGACAGGAAGTCCTGACAGAGACAGGAGGGAAGACAAATAGATTTAGAGTTTTATTTCTACTAATACAAATAGTACTCATTGTTGTGGAAAGGTCTGTAATAAAGAGGACACAAACAGAGTGTCTTTCTGAGTTTTATTATCACACTATCACACATACATTATCACATCCCTTATCTGACAGTTCTGCAGCTGCATAGGATACTATTCTTGCCAATATTCTCTAAACCAGCCTCCCATGTCTACTTAAAGAACCAGTGTGTAGGATTCAGTGGTAGTCAGTGGTGAAGTTGCAGATGGCAACCAACTGAAACCCCTTCCCTCAACCGAAACCCCTTCCCTCAACCAATCGTGTAGGAGAAACTTGCAAAAACTGAAGAAATCCCTATCTAGAGCCAGTGTTTGGTTTGTGCTAATATTCAGGTGATTATAAACTAATAGAAACACAGATTATATAATATTGTATTCCTGACAATAGATCCCTCTACATGTTACACACTGGACCTTTAAATGAGCACACTGTGACAGAGCTCAGTCATGCATGCAAGGTATCAACTTGCATAACACAAGAAGTTCATAGAGAGGACAGTTTTGCTTTCTATCAGTCCTTTCCACTGTGGTAATAACTGTATTATCCAGCACACTCATCACCACCATCAGCATCCATACCATCACCAACCTTCCATGTGGCTTTTGTTGTGCCCACTTCAGTTTACTATTACTATTAAACTTTGCTGAATAAACCTTCAAACTTTTTAAACTAGATTAAATGCACTTAATATTAAACATTATTTACATGTGATTTAGCATATTTTCATTCACATTGCTTGGTCCACATTCTCAGTGTGTTATTCATTTACCTGGTCGGCGTAGCGCTGTGTGAGGTAAAAGGCTCGTTTCACCTTCTCATCAGCAGACAGATCTGGCTTGGTCTTCTCCCTGGTGCCCCCACACAGACTATATACACACACACAGAAACACACGTGCACACACACAGTTGTTGATTCGCCTATAATGTCTTTCATGAGGATGTAGTTGATTGAATTATACTGAAAGTTCTTCCTAAACTAGAACCAGAATTAACTAGTTTTATCTGTCACAGAACCCCTTGTGTGGATCCTAAGGCTAGCGCTGTAGGGTGTACTACCTCCTCCCTACCTGCTGGTGGAGCTGGAGGAGCTACTGCAGGGGGCGATCACATCTTCTCTTTGGGGTATACGGAAGCCAGCCAGGTTCAGGAGGTCTCTGATCATCTGACCTTTAATGGAGACATCCAGCGCCGTGTTGGAATGGAGGCTGGACAGGAAACACAAAAAGTTACAAGATGTAGTTCTGTTTTTGTGTCTGTGTGTGTGGATGTCTGTGTGTGTGTGT